TCCTGCTGAGTATCCTTGGAGTTATCGTAGTTCTCGAGAATACAACCCGGAGCCAGAGTATTCGATAACTCCTTCCTCGGGTCACTGTTAGTGGGCATCCCTAGATGACCCTCGATGTCAGCAACGTAAAGAACGGTTTGAACGTCCCTTTCTTGACCCGAGTCTCTCATCATTGAGGAATTCGGGTTAGAAGAAAACGAGTTGTTGTTCTGCAGAACATATGCATCATTCTGAGGGACACATACCGAAGTTGTCGAAGAAGATGTATCAAAATGCTCGGTCTGAGCAAGAGTCCCGTTGATATACGACTGTGGAGGTAAAAAGCCCTGGCTTTGACACTTTGAGATATCAAGTGAAGGCCTCACATCACACTTAGGCCATGATTCCTTCAGCTTCTTATGATTCTTGTCCGATGCAACGGTTTCCCGAGCAGCGGGATGCAAAAGCGTGGAACCCGAGTGAACAATGCCATCTCCATTGGACAAACTCATATCGGATCGTTTATTTAACATAAGCTGGACTCCGTTAGGACAAGATGGGATATCACTGGCCATCCCTGTCATACTACTCGCGCCGGTAACAGAAAGCTGGGGACTTGTCAGAATCGGAGACAGATCTACACGCCCTGGCCATTCAGACAATTTAACACTTTGTCGGTTCTCGAGCTTTGACTGCTGTGTAAAATGACCGAGCCCTGCATCTCGGTTTCCACCCTTTGCCATTTGCTGAGCTACAATACTCGGCTGAGGTAGAGACATTTGCACTACTTGAGGTGTTTCCGGAATCTGAGTGGAAGTAGTAGACTTCGGTAAGGCCTGGGACCCATCTAACATCTGCCTCGGCTGATCTTGGACCAAACCGAGCTGGGACGGATGATCTACGAGTGCTTGCTGCTGCTGCTGTAGCTTCTGCAATAGCAGAAGTTGTTGGATTTGATTATCAGGTATTTGTAAATGCCGGTTTACTTGATCTGTAAGCTGAGGTTGCATCATCAAGTTCTGTTGCTGATTTGAAACCACGAAGTTTTGGTCCGTTTTCTGTGGTAGTTGCTGCTGCTGCTGAAGAACAAGGTTATGTGAAATGTTCCTTGGGAGTTGTTGGTTCGGGAGAGAAGGCACTTGCTTCTGAAGAACATCGTTACCCTGCAAAATATTCTGTGTCTGCAAAACTCGGGCCGGGACTTGACTCGTCGGTAACGTTGGGCTCATCATATTTTGCTGTGGCTGCACGTTAGAGCCCAGAGGATTCGAAGAAGGGATCTTAGGAAGCTGACCCACTTGTTGGACTGGTTGAGGTAACCTCTGTGTAAAATCCGAACTACTCGGCTGGGCGATTTGAGGTGGCGAGAATCCAAACTGAAGACGTGAAAGATCCGATCCAGTGAAATTTGGAAGAGTAGATCCCGACAAGGAGTGCAAATAATCGGATTGTAAGGAATGAGACAGAGTCGGGTTTTGTCGCATGTTCATCCATTGAACCAAGCTCAACCCGGGAAGTCCTTGAGAATCTCTCAACAAGAAATTGTCCCCGAGCCAAGGCATTGCTCTCTTGAACATGTGGTCCATATCGGTCAAGTCATTATCTGAAGCACATAGAAACTCCAATCAATATCCTCTCATGTCAGTATGAATGTTATATTTTTCAAACAAAATCAATGAAAGAAGAATAAAACATGCTCCCTGCTCCGGCCTTATGCTAATGCCATTCGAATATGCAATATTTTCATCAAATTATCGGATTCCATTTGAGAGTGACATAATTTGATTGTGAATGTTGGAAATTAATCTTTGAACTGAAATATTCCCGCAACAAAATGGACACCTGGTAGTAGTCCCGGTTCCCTCGGCCGCTTTGACCTGAAGTATGGCGGTGGACATATGAAGAACGGTGCAGTTACTGGTTCGATCTCCCAGATTGAAACGCGATTACGTTTTTCCCCGGCAGTTGACTCATCCCAGCCAACCTATACAAACAAATGGATATACAAATATATACATATGTATATATGTCAATCTATATAAATATATGTCATAGAGAAGAACATTTTACATGGAACAAATAAAAAATATGTGGAGCCATACCTGCAAATTACGCCATTGTGAGTTCTTCCATCTCACAGGATCGAGATCACTTATACCTGTGATTGTACCCATGTACCTGCCAGACAAATCCCGCTCATGAACTTCCCGGATAACCGTAAGCACTGATTCAGCATCGAGAAATTTTAGCTTCCACATCAAAAACCAAATCATATATATACAAACTGTAGATTCTTTTCTCAGTCCTCTCAATTTAAACAACCATTTTCAATGCATTTTTGTTTGTCACCCCAACACAATCATTTTCCATATAGCTTGGCACAGAAAATAATGGGAAAGCAGACTGCGCTACCGATAAAAATACTCGGAAGAAATACCTTCTCGTCCCAGATTCCTCGGTTTCGAACATCATGCGAAAGCGCATGCCAAGAGATATTTGGTTGCCATGGACCGCCCTGTAATAAGTGGCTAAAGGAATAACAAACTCTGAAGGACTTGTCCTGCGAAAAGGTTTTCGAGAAAGTGCAGCCCGGAGTTATGATCCAAGAACAAAGAAATCTACAAGGCATTAAAACCGAAGTAACAAAATTTACGATTCAAATCATAACATGAGAAGGGGAAAAAAAAACCTCACCTCGGGTTATAAAAGATAGTGAAAGGGCTATTGTTGGCAGCTGCATGAGCGGCTGCTGCTAGGATACCTATGTGCATACTATCCGTCGAGAGTACAGAAGAAGACATGTTAGTGGATTGCCTATGAGCACGACGTATGCCCACTAGAAGCTGCTTTTTGTCATCTCTGCTCAAGAATGCAAAAAAATGCATTAGGCTTTTTGTCATCTCTGCTCAATAATGCAAAAAATGCCCCATGAAGAGCAGGATGGAATTTTGTTAGAATGTTTTTGATAAAGTTAGTAATAATTTTCTCATCAACTAGGTGAAATTTTCACTAAACTGGAAAACTAATCCTTTTTTAGGAAACATAACAAAAACCCAAGACAGACAATCTACTCAAAATATTATCTAGGTAACTAAAGTCTTAAACCATAAAGGTAAATAACTGAAATCCAAAATCAGAGCATCAACCCAGTCAAGAGATACCAAGGAATTCAAATTCAAAGTTGCTACCTTATAAATAAAACAGAGTCACCAGCCAAAAGCCTCTTTCCACTGACAAACAAACTCCAACCTGTTGTAAGTAAGTGTCTTTTCGGTTGCCCTGAACCAAAAAAAAAGATGAGCATAAATGAACTGCGACTACTGTTGGATAATTTGCATGAAATGTATATAATGTACCTCACATGTCGTCTATGGAGTTCTAAAGGATCATAAAGAACATACCTCGGTATATATGGCGGAAGGACCAGACGTTGTCATGTATATCCCTTGCCACAAGTTCTTGTACAGGTGGTGTCATAGAGAAATCCTGTCAGAGATGAAAGCTAAGATTATACCGATAAAAAATGGAAGAAAAGCTTTCACAAAGGCCCTGTTGCTCACCAGAGGAGGGAAAATCTTCTCAGCTGCACGACGTGGAACAGAGAAACCTCCATGGGTGCTTGTATCACTTGCAGTCAATGTCTTACAGAAAAACTCTGGCTGTGGTTTATTTGTTCTAAGCGACAAATCTGATCTCAGCAATCCTTCCTTGTCAACCTGCATGAGCTTATGTGAAGCTAAGGTCGATTTTATAGTATTCAAACAGAATGCATATTCCACTTCTGACTGCTTTACAGAAATCATTCAACTCCTTATATCCAAATGGCAATAGCATGCCAAAACTAGCCCAAAATGAAACCCTTTGAACCATGGAATGAAGAAATTTTTTCTTTCATTGAAACGAAACCCCTACCGAGGGAACAGGTTGGAGTGTCATTTGAGCATACACTTCGTCTGTATCAGGGTCTGCCTACAAAGCCAACCACAAAACCTTTCTATAAGTCATAAGTGCATTGCCCACAACAAAGAAAAAACAATCAGGGACAGGAAGTAGGAGCTATACATGTAGTGTGACATTGTGAAGAAGACAGATGAGCTTGGAGGGAAGATTCGGGTAACTTGGGGTTTGCGCATCTACATCCTTCCTCAATGATGCAGCCACCTGAAACACGAAATGCCCTCATTAAACCTTGCCAACCTATAGCATTGTTCCTGCACATATATAAAATTTTCCCCCAAACATCAAGCATAAAGAATAACCATGGTAACTTGCAACCTGCACCATGCATCTCAACCCAAAACAATGTCATTATCCTAAACTTTGCAGGACAAGAGAATTTTCACAAAACCTATTTAAGAGGGCAAAAATTAACTATGGAAAAAGATTCAAACTTTCCTACTAAAATGAATAGTCGGGATACCGGGTCAAGCTGCAAATGCAAGCTAAGGCAAAACCAAACTACCTGAGAGACTCAACTCAAGCAAAATCAATAAGAGTATCTCTTGAAACCCAAAAAAAATTGTTTTATTCCCAAAGACAGCAAATCAAACTTTCCCTTTTGGGTAATTCTCATCACGTGGTGGAATGTAAACCAGGTTTCATCAGATAAGCGAAACATGAAACGTTACACACCGAGCAATAAATGCAGTATAAAACTCCATAACGTACCACACTGTCGAGATACAAAGAGATAACATTAAAACAAAGACCTGTTCGCTGTGGCCTTGAGGGAAGTAGACGACGTGGGTCCCAGCCGCCGGCAAGTTCACCAGCGGCCCTGCACACGCCTGCCATAGCTCTGAGTTTATGCCTTTCTTCATCTCTGCAGCTACTGCGCCACTTCCATCTGTTTCGAACTCTCATTGGTCATTGCATCTCCAGAAAAAAACCCAGTTTTGTAAATCATCCCCCTTAGTTTTCTTTTCATTTCTTCCTGTTGGTTTCCCGAGAAAAATATATCCAGAAACGAAGAACACGAACTGTAGAGATTACCTTCTGCGGCATTCGTACATGGAGCAGTAGCTGGTGCTGCTGCTGCGGGAGGTACGTTTCCAATCGCCGCAACCGTCATCCGTTTCCCGATTTTCCCGAGAAAATTTCTTCAGTTTCGCTCCGTCACCGCCGAATCCAGCTTCCTCCTAACCAGAGCAAAAAGGTAGAGAAATCGGTAAGGACGAAGATTGACCCAGCTCCAGATCAATCCGCAAACAATCGACCCAAAATAGGAAGAAAACAGAGGGAAAAAACACAAACTTGCTACGCAAATTTTCCCGGAAAACTTCGAGCCAGAGGGACGGGATTCGATCGCGTGGCGGCGAGAATCTCCGGCGAAAGGGAGGAGACAAGAGGAGAGAGAAAATCGGAAGGGGTGTTTGGTTACTCGGAAACCAGAAGCTGAAGCTTTGCCCCCAATCTCTCCCTACAATGCCCAGACAGAAACTTTTCCTCGCCCTTTTCCTTGCCCTTCTCTCTCCTCCATTGGAGATGAAAATCGAAGTTGACTTAGTGTATGTAGAGGTCGACCGAGGTTAGAGAGAGAAAAAGAACATTATTTCGTGGGGTTGGTTAAACAGTGTCACTCTCTCATCATCCTCCATTATTACGCATTTTTATAAAATTAAGTAAATCAATTAAATAAATAGCCTGGTAAATAAACCATATAATATATTTTTTATTTGATTAAATAATCCATAATGTATGGAAAAAAACAAAAATAAAAATGTAGATTCCGATAATATATATATATATATAGAAATAGTGAGTGGAAATGTTTTGGAATTTTTCAGAAAGTGACGAAAGGAGCAGTGGTCGAATGATGAAATGCATTTAAAGCATTAATAGTTCAGACTCTGAAAATAGTATCTTTAATATTTGGGGTGACAAAAAAATATCTGTAGATTTAGAGGATAATTTTAATAATTTTATTTTAAAAAATGATATATATACACACACACACACACACACCTTTATATGTCCCGCATTTAACCATTGGATGTCGATGATACATCACGCACTTTTTCCGCGAGTGATTAAGAAAATATACAAATTTATATATGATATAATTAAGTCATATGATTTGACAAAAATACCCTCCAATGAGCAATTATCCGAATTTGATGTAATAAGATGAATGATTACATAGTATTTGCCCTTTAACTTTTTAGCCCTCGTTATTGCCACGTCGACATCTTGTCCCTGCCCGTTTGACCCGCCCGGTTACTGGTAAATGCATAAAATTAAGAAGTTGCGACATAATCATGGTCCACTAATTATTCAAAAATAATGATAAGTAACTCATATATGAAATACATTAGATTTTAATGGTTTTAAAGGGTTAAAATAAATAGCTTTAAAACGTTAATACTATAAAGTTTTAAATATGTCTTCAAATTATTTATATAGTAAAAAAATTAGAAGTATCTATTAAAATTATAAGTATCTAATGAAACTCCCAATATCCAACTTGGTTAGATTTTGATTTATAACAAAAGCAATCTCTTAATTAAAAAAAAGTTTAATTCGACTTTGATATACGGTTTGAAAAAATGTAAAAGATATATCTATAATGAAAAGATGAGACGATTGGTATCATATTTGGTCAAGATCATTAGCAAATGTGATACATATATATATGCATATATAGAATCTTAGCTTATCTTTTTTTATTGCCTTTAGCACTATTTAAGATAATAACAAAAACAAAATAATGATTAGCTCAATTTGGAAGTATCATATATAATGAAGATACTGTTTCCCACAGTGATATAATGACACTACCTAATTGAGATTGGTTACAAAAAAAAGTATTTTCAGGTTTATTGGCCAAAAATATTGCAAGCGCTTTTAAATAGATAGGGTTTTATATTTCCTTTATAAAAAAGAATTGTTTAGATTTGTTTAATTCGATTTGAATAAGTATAGTATTATTAATTTTATATATATGTTATCTTATGTTTAAATCAAAAGGAAAAATCATCAAAAAAACTATATACTCTTCAGATATTTTGGTAAAAATCATATACTTTTTTATTACAAAAAAACTTATACTTATACTTATTCGTCGAAATATACATGTACTATTCAGATATCAAACAAAAAAAATCTTATATTTTTTTATTACTAAACAAACCTTATACCTATATTTTATAAATTCTAACAAATAAATTCTTAAACGCAAACGAAAAAAACAAATACGATAAAAAATATGTTCGAACCTAACTCAACCGATATATACCCCAAACGAATCGAACCGAGTAAAATAATATACCATATTGGATATGAATATTCAAATCTGAAATAACCAAACTCCGAAATAACCGAACCAAACCTGACCGATATATACCCGAACTGATGGTGCAACATCATATTTTAAATACTGATTTTCATTAGCTATTCTCATTATTTTTATAGGATACGATTCATAATAATTTTTATATTAGATTTAAAATTAAAAAATAAATCACACGTCTAAACGTGAGTTTTTGTATATTATTATGTTTTCTTCCTATCTTTTAATTATGATAAAAATATTTCAAAGATACAGAATTGGTACATTACAGAACGTCAGCTTGAATTTAACGAATAAATTATTATATTGTTATTTAATTGTGTAACTGTTTTTAATACTTGTTCACATGATGACTTGCAATTATTTTTACACACGATAAAAGAAAATGATATTTTCCTACACCGACTCTGTTAAATGTGACTTTTTTCTACACGAATTTTTAATTTGACAAAAAACTACACCAAATTATCTAATATGCCAAATTGATACACGAACTACCCAATTTAACTGTAATTTCCTACACAATCCGAAAACGGTGTTAAATATCCGTTAACCGATGACGTGACATGCCACGTGGCATCTGACATGGCACACCACATGAAAAATTTTGTCATGTCAACATACCACATCATATTTTTTTTTTAAAAAAAGAAAACAAAAAATCCAAAAAATTGCAAAAAATAAAAAACAAAATTTTAAAAAATAAAAACAAAAATCCAAAAAAAAATGCAAAAAAAAAATAAAAAAAAAATAAAAAGTAAAAAAATATACATATATACATATATATATATATATATATATTCATATCTATATGCAAATACAAATATAAACATATATATTCCTATATATATATTTGTATATTTTTTTATTTTGTATATATTTATACAGGAGGATTTATGTTTATAAATTTGTATTTGTATGTGGATATATATATATATATATATATATTGTTTTGTATGTATGTATATATATATACACACAATATATACATGTATACATATTTATATATATATATATATATGTGTGTGTATATATATATAAATATACTTGTATGTATGTATATGTATATATATTTGTATAAATACATGTATATATGTGTATATTTTTTATTTGATATATATAGACATATATATATACATAGGAGTATTTATTTTTATATTTGTATTTGTATGTAGATATGAATATATATATATATATGTT